TTTTTTCCCGTCAACTTTACTCGCTAATTCAGAAAATGTTGATTATTCTAAATTCATATAAATTATGATTTAGCTAAAAGATTATAAAATATAATTTTAAAACTTAATTATAATTGAATTATGTAGCTAGAATCAAGAACTAAATCAAAATAATTTGGTCCTTGAGTGTAAGACTCAAGACCAAATCAATCTAACGGGAACTACATCGAATCCACTAGTTCAATCGTATTGTAGTCCAATTCGAATAGTTAAATGAAAATGCTAATTCATAATTGTAATCTAAACCACGAAATATTAGTTTTATACATATATAATAGAGGAATACACCATGCATCCATGCAAATGGATCATCTTATGTATTTTTTGATCGTCTTCTCGAAGAAAAATTTAGAGAAATTTCTCATGTACTTTCAGTTTTAACAGTAGATAGGATTCAATGAATCAAAGAAAAGAAACTTTATAAAGTAAAATCAGATTTTATTCCATTTACAGAAAATAAATAAAATGTGTTACACAAACAACCCTATGGAAGGACAAAAGGACTTGAGTTGGATAAAGTTGGAATCCAACTTGTGTTGTCTGCCTCTTGTTTCACGTGGAATCGTTAGTGGTTTGCACATCACTAAAACACCCATGTACTTATCCTTTACATGTCTACATCGATCCATTGCATGTTGGCACAAAGAAATTTGCACTAGATATGTCTCTAGTATTCTATATCGATATTTTGAAAATATCGTGATTTACGTCACAAGATCCAATAAAATTTTAAATTAATATTTGTCAATAGAATGACAAACACAATGATTAATTCGAGTGTAAGTAAACATATTTTAATACAGTAATCCATTCATTCACGAAACATATTGCATGAACTCCATATCAATCTCTAAACTAGCCATCGTCTCCGGAGCTAAAACCACTTCAAGATCAACACTTCCATTTCCTTCTCGCCCAGGAAAGGCCGAGATCTTACCGTCGAATTTATTGGCCTTGCCGCTTCTAACAGCCAATGGTCGACCCCATCCAAAATTATTATCATACATTGGAAATCTTGGAGAACTTCCCATAGTGATCATCGCACCGTCAAAATTCCCTAGTGGGAACAACCTCGGATTGCTCTCCCAATCCTTGACACCTTGACGCACGGTAACATCTTGGTGTGCCACGACGTTCATGTGCAGCTGATTTGCGCTCCAATTCAAGTCTTTCGATAAAAGCTCCCCAACTTTAGCAATGGTTGGAATACTTTGAATGGCGTTTCCAAAATAGAGCGGTTCGAGACGCGGCTCTAGCCTATGTCGACAGTTGACTGCCATTCTAAACGTCGTTACCTTGTTCCCGTCTAATTGCCTCGCACGTGTTACCGACCGCCAAAGTTGAGCAGAAAGTGACTGAAATGATGAAATCAAAGCCGTTGGATTTATCTGCCCTTTATTGGTACTATTCTTGAACATGAGCTCCTCCAAAACGGAAGTTATTTTTCCGTTAACTTTACGGTTTTCACCGTTATTAACTACCCACTCATCGTTACTCTGTTTCCCAACAATCTCCACTCCTTCAGGGCCCGACATTTCGGGCTTTCGGGCCGGGTTATTTGCTCTGAATTTCAACCTCAAGAT